AGTTGATTGTGTGGATTGAATGTTTGTGTGTGGGTGATGTTTAATTTAAGATTTGAGGTGTTTTCATGATGATTGTGCATTGTGTGTGCTTGTCCTTATCTTAAGAGGCTCAAATTGAGTTGGGTCTTCTTAGGCATTCCATGCCTCCTAACTAGGTTAAGGTACGGCAAACCTCAAAACTTAATTTAGACATCTAGGTTAATTGTGATTAAGCTGTCCAAACCTCGATTTGAGGGAGAAGTTCAGTCAACCGACAAGTGCTTGGGCCAAGAAGGCTACAATCGTAGCCTATAATGCATTCCTTAGCCTAGCGATTGAGAGTGTGGTTTCCAACCATTGTTGCTCCTCCTAACGGTTTGCAATCGCCTTGTCGCACACCGATTCATTCGATCCCACAGTTCATGGTAGTTAGTTAGGGGGAAACAACTCCCGAGTGAAGCTTCTCACCAAGAGTTTCAACCCTTTTACTTTTCAAGTCTTGCATTTTTAATCGTAGATTGTAGAGATTCTTACAAACTTCATTCCGCTAGATAATGTTTCAAACAATCGAAGTAGGGGTACATGGGCCGGCCCGGGTTGATATTTAAACATACTTGCCCTATATTGCACCCATTCAAGGTTTATACTTGGGCCTTAGGTGGGATTTAAGTGTGATATTCGGGTTAAGTCAGTTCTTTTCATGAAATTAATTATAAAAAGTATATTTTAAAGGTAAATTACTAACAATATGATACATTTGAGATTAAAAGATACTTACCAGGTATTTGGATGCATACTTTGCTTCAATAGAGTAATCTAATTCACCAGCTAGACCCTTACCAAATTCATTAGAATAGAGGGGAAGGTAGCTTATTGTTAAGACCTATGTTTTTGAACTTATTGTTAAGATGCTATGAGTTGCTCTACTTTAGACATGAATTGCAGGTATTTATTAACTTATCTAAATTCTGTGCACTCATATTCTACATAGTATATATCATACCTTAACAGATTTTTAGTTATTTTACGGTATGCGTCAAAAACTTATGCTTTTACGCTTTGATTCTATGCTTTACGATTTTACCCCTTTTCCGCTTCTAGATAGAATCACGCTTTTGACTGCATTGCCTGTACTTATTAATGAAAATTGCGACCTGACTCGTTTTATCCGACATGTTTGACTTGTTTTGCTCTGGTTTTCATCCGCAAGCGGGATGGACAAGAGTACTCTTCTCGACCTGACATGTCCTAGCCCATGCCATTCTCAACCCGTTTTAGCTTAAATCACACACAATTACACTCAAATTACTTTTTGATATGGGAAATATATGTTTGGTTTTTTATTATGTTTAAAATTAGAAACCTCCAATTTTAAGAATAGTGATATTACCACTAGACAAATTTTTTCGCGTTAATATAGTTATATTCATCATGTTATAGTTTGTTTTTTTGATTTTATAATGAAAACACAATATTTCAAAAAAAAATTCATTTATATTACATACTCATAGGCCATATGGGTCGACTTGTCCAAACTCGCGCTCTATTATAAATTACATTATCTTGACCTGATCTACCACGAAGCAGTTATAAGTATCGAGATACCCACTCATACTACTATTGCATTCCTACCCCTACTATTTAACTCTTAATAAATGTTTACCTTTTTTTTAAAGATGAAGCAAATAAAAGTTTCTTATTATTTATTTTTGTTCTCATACTTAACATGAAGTTAGTAACTACAATGTATGTATGCATGTCATAAGGCCATTGGTGCACTTTGGCTCCTGAATTTCCTGGGTTACCAAATAGGAATATAATTAGTGACTTGTGAAACAATGATACAATATTAATTTTTACTAGTCAAGGGTCCGGCCAGTTGACCGAATTCATTTGTCAATCACGTAAACAACAATAGCTATATGTAGTCGAGATACGCGCTTTTTAGTAGTATGAGAAAATTTGATTTGTTCAAATACTCAAAACATTAAAATTAATTGGTAGCGTAAGAGAGTCAAAAATTTTATAGTAATTCAATCAGGATCAACATCATAATGTTTCCCGACACTCTAACTAACTCATCGACTAAAATATCTTCATGAAAAATGAAAGACAAACGTCATGAAAGGGATTCGGCTCTTAAAAATATTTTAAAATCACCCTTGTATCTACTCATCACTGTCAAAGATTACTGCAACTATTCTTTTTGTATATCATCAATAATAATATCTCGGCCAATAATAATATATTTATTTTAAATATGTTCATTCAGTGTAATTCAAATAGAGTTCACCATAAACATGATTCACAATATCAACATTGTCATCACCTTCAAGCGGAATGCTCAAAGAAGTCGGAGTTGAGATAATTAACTGTTAAACACTAGATCCCACTCAATCACCTATATGCAAAATCCATTTATTGAATTTTTTCAATCTAAATAACTTCTTCAAAGCCACAAATTTTCGGGCAGAATCTCATATTTTGAGAGTGACAAATACAACTTCTTGATAGAAGAATTTACAATATCTGCTCGGGGTTCCATAATAATTATTGGTAATGTTTGCTGAAAATCTCCACCGAGTACAACATAAATTTCCCTAATGATCATGTATTGTGTGTTTGGTTGTTTCACTTGCAAAAATCTTTGAGTGTTCTATCTAGTGCTTCAATATTATGCTTATGAGTCATAGGAGCTTCATCCCAAATAATAAGGGGAATATTTTGAATCAGCTCTGCTAACTCACTTTCGTGTTCAATATATCATGTTGATTTTGAGTCACAATTAATTGGAATACGGAATCGAGAATGAACAGTTCTACCTCCAACCATTAGCAAAGCTACAATGCTATACGAAGCAATCCACAACACTACTTTCTTTTTATTGCTCGTAGTTCAAACCAATAACCTTTCCAAATAAATGTTTTCCACGTACCACAAAATCCATCAACAAAAAAGAAGTTTCGATTTTCTTCCTCCACAGCCTGAATAATTTCAACAAATGCCTTCATTTGCTCTGAATAAATTTTGGTTACAACGTATTTAATTCTACAATGAATCTTCTGGATTGTAACTTAAATCCTTAGCGATTGTTCGATTTCGAGAATTTAATCTCTTCGCTCCATATGGAATAGGCATAAAAGTTTCCAAAATTTATGCAATAATTTATCAATACCCACTAGTAAAAATTTGCAAATTGAGTAATGTAACTCTCTTCTTCAATTTAACATGATATCATCATTCAATAATTCCCAATTTCTCTCTTAAAAGATTCCACATCAGACATTTGACAGTGAATAAGAATTGACAAATATATTCCTTACTTTATATCTAGAACCCCAAAAGGAAACTTCTTTCAAGAAGTCACTTCACTCGTCATCTGCCAATAACCGAAGAGCATAAAACATTTTTTTGAAAGGAATCATGAACTCCAACATTAATTGTTCTAATTTCTTCATAAGATGACAATCTCTAACTACATGGAGCGACTTGCGAGAATAAAAGATTTCTTTGCCTGATGGAGGAAAATAATATAATTTTCCAATACACACATTATTCTTCCTCATCTGACGCCTTCTCAATTTTTAGTCCATATGAAATATTGAGGGAACTCCACAAAGAATATTTTTATGCCTTAGAAGAATGAGTATCGATTTCCATTCATGGCAATAACATTCAGGGATCGTTTGGCTGTAGAAATTTTGTGTAGTAATTGGCCCCAATTTCCACATATTGTAGTAATTAAGTTCAATTATCGTGTTTGAGAAAGAAAATTTAACATGGAAATTAGCATGCGATAATTGGGGGAGAATCTCACGATCGAGGGAGTTGAAAAACCAACCCCTACCCCTCAATATTTCATATTTCCACGTTTTAAATCCTTTTCCCCCAAAATTAAGGGGAATTCTACTATACCGGCATTGTACTGTACGGGCTGCAAATGAGCAGAGTCGAGTCGAGTTTTACCCCAGTTTGAGCTCAAGCTCCGTTGGTTTATTAACGAGTCGAGCCTAGTTCGAGCTAGCTTGTTTATAAAAATCTTAACTTTTAATTGGTACTTCATTTTGTATATCATGATACATATGATTTATTTTGTTAGCTAATCTCATATTATACTTTGTTGGTATCATATATCATTTAGTTAATAAATTTTAACTACTCCAAATCATGTTATTTCATAGTATCGAAGCAATCTATGATGCATAATTTCTTTTTAAAGTAGAAAATAAGATATATTTGCTCGCATACTCAACGTGTTAAACTTTATATATGGTGAGATGTATAATTTAACAACCATACGAATTAAAATCATAAGATATAGATTGATTTGTCCATAATTTGGTAATCGAGTTGGCTCTCTAGCCGCATGTTAAGACATATCATGAGCTCTAAACGAGCCAACTCACGAGTTTAGCTCAACAAGCCACCGAGTCGAGCTAGCTCGCGAGCTTCACGAGCTGAACAAAGGTGAGCTCGTGTTCGGCTCGTTTATTAACGAGTCGAGTTTCGAACGATTTTTCTCGAGTCGAACGCCGAGCCGCTCGCTAGCAGCTCGGCTCATTTGCAGCCCTAAATAGTTTCATAGCAACAGTTTCTCCTGGTCACAGTTTATTTTTTTTAGCAGAAGTTTTTCCTATTTATTTATCTTTGGTTCAAATTTATCTTGGAAGTTCTTTTATTTTTACTACTCTAAATTTATTTTAAATTTATAAAATATGTTAATCAACATTTTATCAAATTAAAGGTGGAATGATATATGTAGTTGAAATTTCAATCATTGCCTACCTACAATATTGATGCAGAATCCAGAATATAGTGAGTATAATTATTAACTATAAAGATATTTTAAAATTAATACAATCATATTTGATTTTAAAAGTTCTACCAAACTATACATTCTTTTTATGGGGATCTAAATTAGGATAAGGGCTCAAAATAAAGTATGTATTAAAAATTAAGTAAAAAATAATTACATAACCTTAGAGAAAAGTATAAAGCTATTTCAATACTATTGACAGAATAAATAAAAAAACGTAAAACGCTCTCTCCTCTCTCTTCTCCCCTCTGTTTCTCGCGGAACTGAACCGCTTTCCATCGCTGTTCAAGCGTGCGACTCCTCAATCGCCAAATCCGGCGACGCCCCACCGTCTCTCTGGCGGTTTGGGTCCAATCCGTTATGGATCAAAGGCCATATATGGCCTTTCATCCTTCATGGATCCTCCCACCTGTATTCTTTTTCAGCATATTACCCTAAGGAAATCCAGACCTTTGAATCCCTACCTCTGTTGGTGATGATGTCGAATGTGGTGGCCATTTACAATGACACTACCATTGCTGCTTCTGAGGAGCGTGATGGTCTCAGTCTCCTTAGACGTGTATTTGGCCCTGCTCCCTCTGCTGGTAGCCTACAACATTTTCTCGCTCATATTTGGAGATGTCATGGCTCGCTAACAATCCTTGAAGCCCCTTTTGGTCTCCATCAATTCATCTTTTCAATTCCTTCTGATAGGAAGAAGGTGAAGGCGGCAACCCCTTGGATTTTGGATCGCATAATGATCCATCTCCAAGACTGGTGCATGCCTTCGGCGGAAGTGGTAAAATCCTTACTCAAAGTCCCGCTTTGGCTGCAATTTTGGGAGGCCCCTTCTCGCTGTCTTACATCTCTAATTGCATGCTGCCTAGGTTCTGCTCTAGGTTCTCTCCTAGAGGCTGGCATGCATATTGGCTCCAAGATAGGCGGCATTTTTCTCCGCGCATGGGGTCGGTTGGACGTGTCTCTTCCATTTCCCAAATCTGTACAAGCTTCTCACGAGGATCCGTCCAAGGGATCATTCAAATCTAAGGTCTTGTACGAACGCCTTCCCATCTTCTGTTTTTGTTGCGGTATTATTGGGCATACAAGTAAGCGCTGTCATCTTGCTCCGGAATTCATTAGCAAAGCGCTGCCTTATGGGAAGTGGATCCTGGCGAGTGAGATGGGTTCAAAGGTGGATGATCGATCCCTTCGCTGTCGGTTTGCAAGGACTTCGTGGTCCCGGGCGGATGGTTTTCCTTCCCGTTCTACACCTCTAAGCCTTCCGCCGCCGGAACATCAATCTAAGGAGGAGAAGACTCGTTCCTCTCTCCAGCGACTGTCTATCTCCCCAAGGCTTGATCCTGATCCTTCATAGGCTATCCCTCTTGGCAGGAAGCGCACCAGTGGGGATGGAGACCTGGACCCGATGGCTGCGGATCTTGGTCAGTCGCCGCTCAAGTCCTCTCGCCTGTCTTCTTCCTTTTTCTGGAAGATGGCGATTTGGAGGCCTCGGCTCATGTTTTTTCTAAAGAGAGCGGGAGAATCTATGGTTCTGATTCGGTGGTAGAAACCGGCCCTAACCAGTCCCAGTCGTCGATATGAGTTTCCTCGCATGGAATTGTCGTGGTTTTGGCAAAGCCTTGGCAAGGAAATCGCTCTTAGCTGCTGTTCGTATTAGGCGTCCTATGGTGGTTTTTCTTTGTGAAAGTAAATGCAAGGATAATAAAGTTAAGAATCGTCTGCGTCGATTAGGTTTTCCCGAGTGTTTTCTTGTTAGTCCTGTAAATACTAAGGGGGGAATGGTTGTTGCTTGGTCTTCAGAAGTTGTTTGTTCCGTTGAATCTCATTCTCCGGCTTACATGTTTGTTGAATGTGTGCATCCTGTTTATGGGACGTTAGTTTTGGTTTTTGTTCACTTGGATTGTAATGAAGGAGTGCGCCAACTCCAACTTAATGAAATTTCTATTGCTCTTTCGTCTAGTGTGTACCCCTTCTTTGTTATTGGGGATTTCAATTGTCTTTTGGCTTCGTCTGAGAAAGTTGGTGGTCGTTCTCCCACACCTCAAGCTTTATCACAACTTCATACATTTCTTACATCTTCTCAATTACACGACGTTGGTTTTCATGGTCCCCCTTTTACGTGGACAAATCGTCGTTCCTCTGATCACATTATGGAGCGTCTAGATCACTGCCTAGCTTCTTCGCAAGCTCTCACTTTTTGGACAGGTATGATGGTTAATCACTTATCTGATCTTGGTTCTAACCATCGCAGGCTCCTTTTACAGTTGTATCCTACTGCAGCACGTACCAGGGCCAATTTCCACTTTGACATTCATTGGATTGATAATCAGGAAGCTTTCGATATCCTGGTGGAAAAATGGGGACATCCGCCCTCGGGCACATTTCAATTTCAACTGCATTCCGTACTAAAAACTTATAGACATCATCTGTTCTCCTGGGCTTCAAAGGGAACGTCTAATTCTGCTCGTGCCATTCGTGAAGTCCAGGATGCGATTGAGTCGGAACGTAATCTCCCTCACGTGGATTGGTCCAAAGTTACTCTTCTAGAATGCTAGCTCGCTAAAGCATATGTTCAGGAGGAACGGTATTGGCAACAGAAGTCACGGGTCTTTTGGCTCACTGAGGGTGATTCCAATACTCGATTCATTCATCTTACTACTCTTCAGAGGCGTCGCTCGAATCGTATTTTGGTTCTCCGGGATGAGGCAGGCACTCCTTTCCATGACGAGGATTCCAAAGGTATGATTGCGGTCCATTGCTTTGTCCATCAATTCACCTCTCAAGCTGTGCAGGTTAGCTCCTTTGTGGACCAGTTGATGCTCCCGGTTATGGTCACCTCCCAAATGAATTCCTCACTCATCCGTTTGGTAACAAGGGAAGAAGTGCGTGCTGCTGCGTTCAGTATTGGACGTCTCCAAGCACCGGGTTCCGATGGTTTTACTTGTTTGTTCTTTCAATCTTATTGGCATCTGGTGGGTGATTTGGTTGTAGCAGCTGTCTTGGAAATTTTTTAGCTCTTGCCATCTTCTCCATAATTTGAACCATACCTGGATTTCTTTGCTTCCTAAGGTCCCAAATGTGGATACCATGAGGCAAATGCGGCCGATTAGTTTGTGTCAAGTCCCATACAAAATTATTTCTAAGATTCTGACTGCTCGGCTCGGGGATTTGTTACCCCATTTGATTGGCCCTTACCAAAATGGTTTTGTCAAAGGTTGGCTCATCTCTTACAACATTCTGTTAGGTCAGGAGGTTGTGCAATCCTTCAAAATAAAAGTTCAGGGACATGAGAAATGGATGGCACTTAAATTAGACATGGAAAAGGCTTATGACAGGGTGGAATGGGATTTTCTCTTTGCCATTATGCGGAAACTAGGTTTTGCAGAGCGGTGGATGCAATGGATTTGGGCTTGTGTTTTGACTGTCTCCTTTTCTGTTCTTCTCAACGGCTTGCCACATGGATACTTTCAGCCACAGCGTGGCATCCGTCAGGGTGACCCCCTTTCCCCTTTGCTCTTTGCCCTTTTTACTGAAGGATTATCTGCATTAATTAACCAATTCGTCGAGAACAATTTTCTTCATGGTTTTAGGATTCATCGTTGCTGCCCGGTCTTAACTCATCTCTTCTTTGCTGATGATGCTTACCTATTCCTTCGTGCTTCCCTTCCAGAATATCAAAATTTGTTATCATTGCTTGACTCTTATCAGCAGGTGAGTGGTCAAAAAGTTTATTTGCAGAAATCATCCATCTCATTCAGTGCCAATGTCACCCAAGTCGAGGCTCAAGGCATCATATCTGCTTTGGGAGTATCTCCAAGTGGTGATAATGATCTCTATCTTGGCCTTCCCATCCGGATATCTCGTTCGAAACAGGATTCCTTCCGGTATATTGAAGTTAACCTGCTTCAGAAAATTCAACGATGGAAGTCTCAATCTATGTCTTTGGCCGCTAAGGAAGTAGTCCTCAAATCAATTGGCTTTTCCTCTCCTAATTATGCTATGTCCAGTTTTCGTATCCCATCAACCTTTTGTCGCAGGATCAATGGGCATTTGGCTCGATTCTGGTGGGCTTCTCAGGACAAGGAGAATGGGATGCGATGGGCTTCCTGGCGTGAACTCTGTCGCCCAAAGGCTGAGGGAGGACTAGGTTTCCGAGACCATGATAGTCACAATATTGCCCTCCTAGCTATGCAGGCTTGGCGGATTGTCCAAAATGTGGATGGTCTCTTAGCCGTCAACTATAAAGGCAGGTATTTCCCTCACTCTTCCTTTCTACTTGCTCCTCAGGGTTCTAGGCCTTCTTGTGCTTGGCAAGGTATCCTTGTGGGTCGCTCTCTTCTGCAATCTGGGCTTTGTTGGTGAATTGGTTCGGGTGCTTCGGTTTGGATATTGGAACACTCATGGCTGCCAACGACTCCTCCATCTCGGCATGTTCTCCTGCCCAATGTCTCTTTACCGAGGCCCCATGGATCTTCTTTGATCGATCATGGCTCCGGTAGTTGGAAGGTACCTCTCATCACCTCGCTATTTGATGGGGAAACGGTCAGAGTAATCAGATCTATTCCTCTTCCTATTTGTTCCGTGTCTGATCGTCTTGTGTGGCACTATGAGAAATCAGGTGAGTTCTCTGTTAAATCATGATATAGAGTGGCCTCTGCTGATTATATTCATAACCCTTCCACTATTCCCCCGATCTTTGATTCTTCGGCTTGGAATTTGTTGTGGTCCTTGAATGTTCCTCTTAAATTATGTTTTGTTTTTCTCTGGCGTGTCATTAAAGGATATCTTCCCTTGAGAGATATCCTTAGAGAGAAAGAACTAATTGATGATGAGGATTTGGAGGCGGTTAAGTGCCATGTTTGTGACGAAGATCCAGAGACCCTATTGCATTCTTTTATGCATTGTCGGATGGCTGTGGACTTTTGGAACCTTGTTGGTCTTAATCATTTGCGCTTACAGGTTTACAATATGCATGTTTCCGTGGGTTGGCGGTGGTTCTTTTTTCATGCAGGTATATCCAAGGATGTGCTCAGCCAGCTAGTCTTTGTGTACTGGCGCATTTGGAAGGCTCGGTGTCCTACCACTTATGATCACGTTCAATTCCTCCCATCCACCATGGTGCGACATTTCCAAACTCAAGTAAAGGAATGGTCCTCTACTCAAGCAGCCATGGCTTCATCCACTAATCGTCGTGCTTCTGTTCCTCCTGGAATTCGCGGTCACACCCCACCACCAATTTCGCCGGGGACTGTTCTCGTCCATTTTGATGGCGCTACAAATTCCAGTATTGGGGGAGGAGTGGGCTTCGTTGGGTTTTCAGGACCAACGACTATTCTTTTTGCATTTGGGAAATTTTACGACTATATGGCTGACGCATTCATCATTGAGCTTTTGGCCCTCCGGGATGCTCTCCGGTGGTGTCTCTCCAATTCGATCTCTAATGTCTCATTCTGTGGTGACGCGCAGGTGATCATTCAAATGATAAATCGTAAGGATTTAAGCCATGTTTTGGGTGGTAGCCTCCTCGCAGAGATCCAAGTGCTTCGTGTCTCCATGCAGCGTGTATCGTTCCACTTCGCTCCACGTAAGTACAATAGGGTTGCCCATATCGTGGCGAAAAAATCCCTCTCATCGTTGGATCGTCGGTTGGTCACCCAGCGGCTCTTCCTTAATTCCTCTTTGTAATTGACCTGTAAAGGTCCTTTTATTATGTCGTATCGGTTGTATTCCCTTTCGGGATATCTTTGGCAAAAAAAAAAAGAAAAGTATAAAGCTATTTCAACGAAAAAAGTATAAAGCTTGTTTTTATAACACAACAACAGGGAAAAGGAAAGACCGGCTATAGCCGGTGGAGAGTAGACGGCATGGTACAGTTACGGCACCATAGAATTCCCTCAAAATTAACCCCCTTGCTTTATCTCTCTTCCCATTCGCCAATCGTTCTTCTCACGACCCTCCATTTTCTTTCTCATTGCCTATCCCTCTTATTCCTCCATTCTCACTACCAATCCTTCTTCTTCAACCAGGCAATGACAATCTATTTGCTGCTCCCGATTCACGAATCTCGCTCTTTAAGGTACGGGCTTTTAAAGATGACAACAACAAAAAAAATTAGAAGCCGCTGACAATGGGATTTGAAGGCGGCCAAATTGCAGAAAGATGAAAAGAACGATTCCGAGTAGAGCCAAATCCTCAACCTAATTAAATAGCTTGATTGGAGCAATATAGTTATTTCTTATTTTTGGGTTTGGTCCGGTTTCTCTTTGAGATTTTATTTGAATCTATATGGGTTTGTTATGGGCAAATTTTTAGAAGTGGTATTTATATCAAATTCATGGGCAAATGGGCATTTTAATAAAATCACACACTACACTACACGAAAATAAAATAAAATGTATCCAGACGTAGTAATTTGTTCAACTCCCACAAGTGAATTCCTTAGTTTTGTACAATATGGAAATTGAGAGAAATTTCCACAGCCAAACGAACCCTCTTATTTTTTTAAGAAAGTATTTTTAGTTGTTTGGTTCTCCTTCATTGCTACTTTATTCTCCATAGGCTCATGACATAGGCAACATAGAAGGTGAACTACATCTACTATCAAACATAAATATTCTTCAACATGCTTCACCTGATGTTATGTAGTGACTGTCTAGAACTGCTTTAGTCTCATCAATACAAACGCAAGTAGCTGAGATTTTCCATGGCGTTGGGGTTGTG